GGCAACAGTCGTTCGAAGAGCTGAAGCAGTATCTTTCCACACCTCCGGTGTTGTCCACCCCACATGTGGGTGAGCCTTTGTTTTTGTACTTAGCCGCCTCCCCCAAGGCGGTAAGCTCGGTACTGTTCTGGGAAGAAGAGCATACCCAGCACCCGGTGTACTACGTAAGCCGCTCCTTGAAGGCCGCCGAGACACGGTACACGGCCGTGGAAAAAATTGTCTACGTGCTAGTAATCAACGTGCGCAAGTTAGCGCCCTATTTCCAAGCCCATACCGTGCGAGTACTGACCGACCAACCGCTAGGGAGCGTACTGCGGAACCCCACATCGTCAGGTCGACTGGTGAAATGGGCCGTGGAATTAACCCAGTACGGGATCGAGTATCAACTGCGACCGTCCATAAAAGGGCAAGCCTTGGCCGATTTCTTGGTCGAGTGTACAGCAGGGGAAGAAGAGAAAGTGCGCACCACGGAAGATAGTTCCGGCGAGTGGTGGGAGATACACGTGTATGGAGAGGCAAGCCGACAACATTTTGGAGGCGGAGTCATGCTAATCACTCCAGAGGGATTCCGACTCTACTACGCCCTGAGCTATTTGTTCCCGACATCTAATAACGAAGCTGAGTATGAGGCTGTGTTGGGCGGCCTTCGACTCGCCAAAACGCTGGGAGTAGAACGATTGCGAATCAAAACTGACTCCCGGTTAGTGGCCAAACAAATCTCCGGCACCTGCGAAACTAAGAACGCCCTGATGACCCAGTATAAGGAGAAGGCGATTGAAATGCTGAAGGAATTCGGAACATATGAAATAGAGCATATCTCCCGGGCGGACAACATCGAGGCCAACATATTATCAAAAATTGCCTTAGAGGGAATACCAGATCACCTCGCCAAGATTTGCCAAAAGAAAGAATTAAGTCGTCCAAGTATAGAGGAGACGCCGTTAGAGGTCCAACAGGTAACTATCGAGGAATGGGATCGAGAGAAAAACCCCGAGATGTTTTAGATAGAAGACATCCGGCGATTTCAAGCAACGGGCGAGTTTGCAGATGACCAAGGAGTCGCCGCAAGGATTCGACGAAAAGCCCCTTCATTCGAGATCATTGGCGGGCAAATGTACAAGCGGTCATTCGGAGGCCCCCTCTTGAAGTGCCTACTCAGGCCCGAAGCCGAGAGGATAATGGATGAAGCTCACCGAGGGATCTGCGCCGCCCACCAGGGAGCCCACACTCTCACCCGGAATCTAGTCGTCCAGGGGTACTACTGGCCGACCATGATGCGAGATTGCATCGAGTGGATAGCTAAGTGCGGCATTTGCCAAGCTTTCGCCCGGAAGGATACTCGGCCGACCAACTTCTACACACCGGTCACCACAGCCATCCCTTTTGCTAAGTGGGGAATTGACTTGTTGGGACCGTTACCAGTCGCCCTGGGAAGCCTGAAATTCTGCGTGGTGGCCATCGATTACTTCACTAAATGGGTTGAGGCCGAGCCACTGGCCACCATCACCGAGTATAGTGTCGACGCTTCCTATGGAAGACAGTGATTTGCCTTTTCGGCCTGCCCGAGGACGTAGTTAGCGATAACGGCAGACAGTTTGACTGCCAAGCCTTCGCCGACTTCTGTCGCCGGTATAGTATACGACACACCAAGGTATCCGTCGCGTACCCCCAGGCCAACAGACAAGTCGAAAATGTAAATCGGACTATAGTGGACGGGATTCGGAAGAAGTTGGAAGACATCGGGGGAAATTGGGCGGATGAGCTCGACCGGGTCCTATGGGCTTATCGAACTACGCAAAGACGGGCGACGGGAGAAAGGCCATTTTCCCTAGCATACGGCTTTGAAGCCAAGGTTTCGATAGAAGTCGTGGAACCCACCCACCGAGTCCACAACTATTTTGATGAGGAGAATGAGGAAAGCCTTAAAATTGAGAAGAACTTCCTGGAGGAAAGAAGAGAGGCCGCACACGACCGGATGGTGGAATATCAGCAAGCCGTGAAGAGGTATGGTGATCGAAGGATTCGCCCACGAACCTTTCAGGTCCGCGATCTCGTGTTACAGGACCGACAGGCGAGTCAGCCTACGGAAGGGGGTGAATTCGCGATCAAATGGGAAGGACCGTATCACATTGCAGCCGTGGTCCAAGCCGGTACCTACAAGCTGGAGACCCTAGAGGGAAAGCCCGTGGACCGAATCTGGAATGTCATCCACTAGAAAAAGTTTTACCAATAAAAGGTTAGTCGTGTACGAGTATCCGAATTTCAAAACTTAAATAAAAGAACGCCAGTTACCACCGATTAACGCCTTCCATTCGGCGAGAAGATATGGGAAACAAGGGCCCAGACCCTTAGTCGTTTCCGTGAAAAAGCCAAAAGGAGTCGCCTCGACTGAGGGACTTGGCGAGAAATTAAAGAAACAACGGGGCACTGACCCAAAACCGTTTCTATGAAAAGAAAAAGTCTAAGGAGTCGTCTCGACTGAGGGACTCGGTAAGAAGAGATGGGAAACAAGGGCCCAGACCCATAGTCGTTTCCGTGAAAAAGCCAAAAGGAGTCGCCTCGACTGAGGGACTCGGCGAGAAATTAATGAAACAACGGGGCACTGACCCTAAACCATTTCTAAGAAAAGAAAAAGCCTAAGGAGTCGCCTCAACTGAGGGACTCGGCCAGAAGAGATAGGAAACAACACCCAGACCCTTAGTCGTTTCCGTGAAAAAGCCAAAAGGATTCGCCTCGACTAAGGGACTCGGCGAGAAATTAAAGAAACAACGGGGCACTAAAACTAAACCGTTTCGAAGAAAAGAAAAAGCCTAAGGAATCGCCTCGACTGAGGGACTCGGTGAGAAGAGATGGGAAACAAGGGCCCAAGCCCTTAATTGTTTCCGTGAAAAAGCCAAAAGGAGTCGCCTCGACTGAGGGACTCGGCGAGAAATTAATGAAACAATGGGGCACTGACCCTAAACCGTTTCTAAGAAAAGAAAAAGCCTAAGGATTCGCCTCGACTGAGGGACTCGGTGAGAAGAGATGGGAAACAAGGGCCCAGACCCTTAGTCGTTTCCGTGAAAAGGCCAAGAGGAGTCGCCTCGACTAAGGGACTCGGCAGGGTATTAGACCGCTCCAAGTATCGAAAAAGAGGAGAAGTCGTCCGGATCACAGGAATTCAACAACATGGAAGAGTCCAAGGCCTTAAGTTATTTTTTAGGGGCTAAGATCAAAATGAAGATAAAAGCAGTCGGAAGAAACAAAAAAAGGAATTTCATTAATGAAGTACCCAAGAGGGGGGCCAGCCCTTACAAAAGAGGGCTACCAAAAGGAAAACCCTAAACTCCGGGGGAGGGGGTGTCGACATCAACTCCCTCGACCTGAGCATCCGCCGTTGGTCCAGCTGGAAGAGCAGGTGAGGGGTCTTCTGCCTGGGAAGACGGCTCCGTAAGCTCAGAAGGTCCCGCCACAGGAAGAGCTGCCGGATCCGCAGTCGACACGGGCTCATCAGTCGCCGACAGAGGATCCAGTACTGGCTTGAGGCCCCAGCCCTCGGGGGTAAAGGCGGAGTCGCGGGCCATCAGGGCATCATGAATTTCCATCTAGGCCTCGCAAAAACCCAGACGATAGTCGCGCTCGCCCAAGTCCAAGAGATAATCATCTCCTTCCGGCGTCGCCAGCCACTCCTTGGCGATATCCTTTTGTCGAGCCACCACCGCCGCCTTCACATCCGCTTCAAAGGCCGCCGACTTCTTGTAATCCTCCACTGAAGTGGTGGCAATCGTCGCGACCATGTCCCGCTCCTCCTCCCATTGACGAGTGACCCTCAAAAACTCAGAGGTGTGCACCTCCACCGATCTGGCATGCACAACCTGCTCTTCCTGACGGGCCTCCTCTGTTTGGCACAAGCGAGTGGTAAGAGATTGCAGTGCAGCCTTGTACCCCCTCAGTCGTTTACTCAGCTCCATCTGGAAGGTGAGATTCAGCAATACAGGAAAAGTTAGATGATGAAAATGAAAAAGAAGAAGCAAGGAGTCGGAACACTTACGCGGTACGACTGGCGGAGTGAGGCCTCCAGGATGTACTCATCCTGCATCAAGCTGGTCATCTCCACGTTCTTAGGCAGAAGGACGTGGTCGGCCCAAGTCTGGACAGAAGAGCTGCCTTGCCAGATCTGGGCATTCTCATCCAACTCGATGCCTAACCGGATCCTCTTCGGAGCTGGCGCGTGACTGCTCTGTCGGCCGTTTAGAGCTCGGGCTCTTAGAAGAAGGCGGAGGTGGCTGCCTGGAAGGCGAAGCGACCGGAGACGGCGTCAATTCCACCACAGTCCGTGGTGGCGGAGGAGTCGACCTCGAAGCCGGAGAAGGCAGAGACGAGGAAGCAGCAGCGGCGCGTGAGGCGCGTTGAGATAGCCGGCGCCTCATCTTTTCAGCTCTGTCAGCCATCTCTGGAGTGGGAGCGGCGGCTTCGTCGGAACTGGTGGAGTCGGAGTCCTAAGTACCTGTGAAAGGAAGGAAAAAGTGTATGTACTCCCAGTCGGAGCAAAAAGGCACAGAGGAAAACAGGAAAAAGAAGGACATTGGAGAACTACCTAAGGTGGCCGCGCCGTTTGGCAGCAAGCCCCGTTTTGCCATGACTCGGACCCGAGACCAGTACTTAACGGAGTACGGCCCCCAGCTCTTCAAGAAATCGCCACCCTGGATTGCATCTTGGGTGAAGACGGCGCGCCGAGAGCAGGGCTTGAACAGGGCTGCCGCCCACAGGGTCGGAAAGGTGAAAGAAGAGAAAGAAGGACGAACGAAAAAATAAAAGGGCTTCCAGTCCTTAAAGGAGTCGGAAAGACCCTCGAGGAGCTGTCGCCCAGGACAGGCGGCAATTTGGACGAAGCTCGGCGAGTGTGAGCCGACCTTATTCACGGTGAACAGATACCAGAAAAGGTCTAGATCCGGCTCACAAAGCCACCAATGGCAGAGGTTGATGAAGCAGGTGAGAAGACGGTGAGAGTTGGGTACTAACTAACCCGAAACGAGGTTGTAATGGCGGTAGAAAAGGGAGAGGAACGGACACAGAGGCACTCGGAAGCCAAAGGCAACCGAGTGCAGGTGAATACCCACGCAGCCCTCCGGCGGGTCATAGATATGCCGGTTTTTTGGAGCGAAGACGAGGGCCGAAGGCCCAAAAAGGAAGCGGGCCATTTCTAGGTCCGCCGCAGAGATTTGCGACGGACGCCCTTCCGGCCGGACGATGGAGTCAGACTTGCCTCGCGGCCGTCCTGCGCCATCAGGAAGAGCCGCCACCGTCGTGAGAGGCGCCGAACTCAGAGGAGTAACTGCCTCCGAAGAAAAGGGGGTCGGCTGAGAAGGAGACGCCGATGGGAAACCTGACGGAATCTCCATTCGGCGAGGACTTGAAGAAGAAGAAGAAGACGAAGACGTCGACGCGGGGGTTCCCGCCGAGCGACGGGAAGAAGAAGAGTCAGAGGAGGAAGACATTACCAACCTAAGGGTGCTAACGGAGAAAGAACGCGGAGAAGATCGAAGAGTCTTGTGCTGAGTTTTTGAGAATTCGAAGAAAGTGGGAAGAAGAGGGAAGAAGACAAGTATTTAAAGGGGTGAGAATCCCAAAGGGCGACCAGTGTCACCCTCTCATTGGAGAAGAAAAGGGTGACGAGAGGTGAAAGGACGCCGCATTTAATGCCTAGGAAATCGGAGTGACGGTTCAGGCCTAGGGTTAGCCTGCAAGCGGCGCGTCTACCCTAGGCTAGAACCGGGTAGCGGTGGCCCGGCCTAGTAACTGGAAGCCCATTGTAGGCCCTGGCCTCTGGGCCCACCGGATGTGGACCATAAGCTTCCAGAAGGACCCAGCGAAACCTGGCCAGTTTTAGCTCAGTTGGCACAAGCAACGTTTGTGAAAAGATCCGAGTCCCGGAGTCGGACAATCGGGGAGAACCAGGAGTCGATCAACGAATATACAGAGATGAGGAAAAACATTTCAAGCAGATAAAAGGACAAACAGTTTATTTGAAAAACAACAAAGGCCTAAGACTCGGCCGAATACAAAGTACAAAGGAAAAGAAGGATCATGGCTTGGCTTCCTCCTCCTCTGACGGACGAGCAGGGGGAGGACCCTCCAAGAAGTGCTGAGGGCGGAAAGGTGGAGGACTCGGCTCAGGATCCAGCACCTCGTCCAGATACACGGCTGGCTTCCCATCATCAATCATCTACAAAGGCCTCTCCAAGGCACTCGGAGGCATGGCTACGCCAAAAAGAGGAGGAACCTCCCACACCTCCTCCTCCTCCGGGCTTGGGTCGTCCACCACCGGTTCCAGCTTGTCATCAGCCGGCTCCACGGGGACCAGATCCAGCATATCTGGGGACACCACGATGGGATCAGAGCTTGAGTTGCCCACCAGATATCCACCGTTGGCCAGCCTCTTCTGCCTTAGCTCTTCCAGGCGAGCATGCTCCTTGTTGCGAATGGAGAAGCGACGATCGCCGACTCTGTAGCTCATGACCAAAGGTCTATGAACAGAAGTGGTATGGGTCACCAGCATAAGAGGCCTTTATATAGCCTCAGAAGGGCGAATACCTAGGTGAAGATCATGGAGCTGATAATAACTGTCGTAATCAGGCCAGATTAGACGGGAGGCAAGAATCTTTGTTAGGGGGTAGTTCCATCAAATCCGCTCGAGAAGAGTGAGATTCACACGTTGAACTGAAAAAGATAGATTCACCAAAGATACGGGGAATATTGCAGGTATCAGACTGAAAAGGGCCTGACAACGTGGCCGACTCCCAAACCAGTCGGCTGGAAGAGTAGGATGGGTGCCATAAAGAATTAAGAAACAAAGCCCTCCAAGATAAGAACGTAATTTTATTTATAAAAGATGGGAAATACACAAAATAAGGAGCTTATTACATCACAAATAAATAAGAAATGCTCTTATATAGCCCCCCGGAAATACGAAAACAAATCTTGGCCGTGGCCGTCACTCGCCGAGAGAAGAAGAGTCGCTCCCAAAGAACGTCTCCCCCGATGGTCTAGTGGGAGATGGACAGAAGGTATCCCAAAAGACTGGCATGATTGGTGGCACCACCGGCTCCTCATCATCCGGGTACATTTCTAGATACCGAACAAAATCGGCATCAGTTATCAGGCCCGTAGCAGGCCCATCCAAGTCATCAAGCAGAATGGAGAAGGTCATATGAAAGGTCAACTGTTCGGGGACGGCCACCTCCACGAAGGACCCATCCTGAGCAGTCACCCTGGCGGTAGCCGGGGGCGGCGGATTGAGTGAAGTCGGAACATTCTCCGCTCGAGTTCGGGTAGGCGGCTGTGGAATAGAAGAAGTAGCGCCGGTGGGGGACCGCTGAGAAGCCGGTCGAGGAACCATCTTCTTGTTCTCCCTCTCGGGCCGGGTCCGCTTGGAAGGTAGAGGGCGTCGAGGAGACCCGAAGTCGATCCGCTTTCCCTTCAAAGGCGAGCGACCCATGGCTGATCAGTGAGATGATGCGTAGAGAAAAAGAGGCTATTTATAGGAGCCATGCGGAGCTAGGAGAATCCCAACGGCTCCGTTGAATCCGGGAAGATAGCAGAGGATCCGGACGTTACGAGGTTTCTTTAAGACGGAGATCCGGTGATGGAGAGAACGGTCAGTTACAACTTTCCCAAACCCTGATTAGTGGACCGGGTATGAGAAAGTGAGGGACTAGTTGATGGGGTGAGAACCCCGGCCCAAGAAGATGGGCCCAAGAGAGGAGTCCAAGGAAGAAGATGTGGGCCAGTAGCGAAAGAAGCCCAGTGGAAAGCTTGGGCGGAGTCCAGGAGTCGGCCCAGGCCTGAGCACGGATAGAGACTCAACCCTAAGCCGTTAAGGAACATTGAAGAGCTTCATTTAAGAAGACTCTGCCCAGAGAGCCATTGAAAGGCGTTCCAGCGTAGCTTTTAAGTCGGTCCAAGAGCCGTTGGAGGCATTCAAAGCAGGACTCGGTCAAGCAAGCGGTTATGAGTCCATAGAGCCATTGGCCGGTTCGGTAACGGCGCCCAATGGCTTAGTAATTGTAATTAGCCTTAAAAACAATGATTAATGTACTTCAAGTCGGACGGAGAGGAGCCTACTATATAAAGGCCTCTCCACCCTTGTAATCCAGGCGAGTCCATGCCCAGTGAATAAGAAACACTCACTCTAGCTATTATTTCGACTACTCTTCCATTGCTAAAAAGCTTTGTAAAAGGTGAATCCACCAACCAATGTTGTGTTGGACCTCCCTGTGCCTGAAAACCCAAAAACCAACAGTTATTATATAAAATAATGCTATATATTTATTTACCAAGAATTTTATTAACACCATGAATATATATATATATATATATATATATATATATATATATATATATATATATATATATATAGTGCAGTTCAGGTGTGAACTTTGCCTAAAGTGGACGTGTGAACTCTTATCTGCCGTCCGATCGTGGGTGATGTACGGTTTCAAGTGGAGGTGCAGCGCTTACGGTGCGCGTGCGTGGCACACTATCTATTACACTGTACAATAGCGTAAGGAGTCCTAATTGACCGAACCCTATTATTCTAATCGCACTATCTATTACGGTGTCTATTACACTGCACTAGACCTCCAGACCCGAAGTCTACTCGTAGGGAACTTCACTGTAACACTCGTCGGTGACCTTATTCGAATGCTCGTGCGATCATGGCGAAGTCAATTGGTGGACGTCGGTTGAAGCGGGGGAGTAACGCCGTTCAATTACCGCCAATGATTCCGCCTTCAGCCGGTTCCCGTAGGCGTGCGTTCGAGTCGCGGCGGTCACTGCGGCATGCTCCGGCGGCAGGGGGACGGGGCGATTTTGACAGGTCGGCGTCAGGGGTGGCTTCCAGAGTTGCTGCACGGAGGAGATCGGCGCTACAGGCATGTCATGCAGGTGAGTTCGCTGTTCGGGGGGGGGGGGAGTGGTGATAGCTCTTTTGGGTTTTGGGTATTTCCAAGTTATGAAAATCGCATTGTAAGGCTATAATATAGTTATGGGTTTTGATTATGCTCTGGGTCAGTAATGGCAGAGACTTAGAGCTATTGTTAATGAGAGCAGAATGCATAAAAAGAATTCATATAGCTAATCTGAACCTGGCTTCTTCAAAATTATCAAATCGGATCATTTGGCTATAGTGCATGTTTTCTAGAGCACCCAACTAAGTAGCAGTCTTGTTTGCTTTAACAGAAATACTGGAACAAGAAAAAGAGGGTAATGTTATGAGCAAAGAGCCAAGTGCTAAGAGGATCTTGTACATAAAGTAGTAAACTAGAAATTAAATACATCACAGCCTGATTAGAATAATTTCAGCAGTAACTGTCCTAAATGTGGTGTTATTGAATAGCTACACCTAGAGCATCCATATCAGTATAGCTTTTGGGAGGGGTTTTATTAGTTTTTGAAAGTGTTTCTATTCGTTTGTTGTTGGGTACAGGCTGTGATGGCCACCAGGTAGTCCTGGTAAGTGGCGATGAAAGCGGGACGAATGATGAGTTCCATACCTTGTCGCTGGTGTTGGATAGGGGCGTTGCGCTTGAGCTAATGCGCGTGCAGCGATTGCCGACGAGCCAGATCAATATGTGGGGGGCGCCGAAGGGTCTTGTAAACCTCGTGGAAGGGTTGACTCAGAGGCAAAGGGACGATGTTGTGAGCTTTGGCCTTGGTGCGCTTTTGGGACTACAGATTACGGAGGTCCCGCTCCAGTTGGGGCATTGGTTGGTCACAAATTTTGACCCGTCTAGATTGAGGATCAATCTGGCGGGTGGTCGCTACATTGCAGTCACCAAGGAGGATGTCACGGTGGTCCTTGTCATGCCGGATGTAGAACGGGATAGTTAACTGGTTAGCCCGGAGTGGCGAGCCTGGAGGGACGAGGTAAACCAACGTAGGGAGAGGATCACGGTTAAAGCGTTGTGTGAACGGGTGCAACAGTTGCTAGACGGGGGCCCGTGGTTCAAATTGCATTCAGTATCATGGTGGTGACGACACTGGTTGCAACAACTCTGAATGGGTATGAAAACCAGAAAATTGTTCACATGTGATAGGAATATTTTTGTAAGTTTTAATGAGCCAAATGTACTTTAGATCCCCTTAGTTTTTAGGTCTTTTAGTACAAGCATCATAAATCAGAATATCGAGTCAAAAGGAATCTACCATAGGAAGAACAAAATTAATTTGGAAAATTAATTTTGGTCCTACGAGTAATCATCCGAGAAAGAAGCATAAAGGAATGGCGTTGCAAGAAACGATAGGATGAGTCCAATGGTGAAATGGTAGAAGTCTTTACTCAAAACGATCATACCCGAGATCAATTCTTGACCAAAGACTAATTTTTTACAAGTCAAGTTTTCGGACAAGCACAATGTCTGAAAAGGGGCACAATGCGGACAAGCACAATGTCTGAAAAGGAGCACAATGTTCTAAAAGAGGACAATGTGAACAAGCA